TACTGTGGATCGAACTCAGGACCTTGCGCTTGCCAGGCAAGTGCTGGAACCATTGAGCTAAATCCCCGGCCCTGTGGCTTGTCTTTTAACAATGTCTTTTTCAAAATAAGGTATTCTTAGTTGTGTTTTTATTTTCATATATTTTTCATAATAGTATCTTGTGAGGATAGAAGTTCTTACCTTTTTTTTTTTTTTTTTTCAATTCAGTACTGGACTTTGAACCTAGGACATTAATACTAAGCTACATCCTACCTCCTGCCTTCTTTTTTGAGGCAGGTTCTTTCTACTAAGTTTCTCAGGTTAGGCTTGAACTTGAAATCCTCTTGCCAAAGCCTCTGAGAGTGTGAGATAGTTCTTAACTATGACATAATCAACTTTGTTAATTTTTTTCTTTTATGGATGATATTTTTGGTATTTGGTTCAGGTGCTTTGGACTTTTCCCTTTCATTCTTTCAAGCCTGGCAATTTATACTTTAAAGTGTTTTTTATATTTTATTTGACATTTATTTGAATATTTATAGTAGAAGTATTTTGCCTTAGCTCTGTCTGTTATGCTGCTAAAACTGAAAGCACAATAAATATTATGTGTGTTTGAAAATTTTATTAGTTTTTAACTTAAATCTCAACTTCCTGTTCTCTTTGTCCCATTGGAGTCTTGGCAACCGTAACCTACTATTTTTATTTTACAAACAGTTATATGAAATTTATAATGTCTTCTATCAGTAAATTATAGGTAATCAACGTCATTGAATTAAAAATTCAAAGGATAATATCTGTTAACTAATCACTTTTAATTTAATGCTTTAATAACCTAATTGTGATTAGGATTTAAATTAAATTGGTTTACAGCAGCGATCTAGAAACTTAAGATATTTGATAATAGCTCTTTTTTATTTACATGTTCAATATCTAATACCTTTTTTTCTCTTTTATTTTTAGATCACAAAATTTGTCCAGGACAGACACAGAGCTAGAAGAAATAGACTTGGTAAAGATCAACTTAAGAAACTCCCAGTACATAAATTTAAGAAAGGTAAGTAAATATTTTTGTTTTCCAAATAATCACGGTTAGTTTATTTCATACTACATGATGATCATACTCTAATACTGTCTTCTGAGTTCCTGTCATACACTATGCCTAATAAGTCAGTTAATATGAATGAATGTCCATGGGAAATGGCCTTTTGCTGTAGCCTTGATAAGGCAGGAAAAAGGTGCATAGTCTGCAGCAAATTTAAAAGCAGCAATGCAAATAACAAAAAGCTTTCTATTATCACTGAAATAAAAAGTTTTAAATAAGGTAAGATAAATACTTCTCTACACGAGGGTAGTCTGCTCCTACTGACATTTTTCCTATTCTGTCTTGCACCATGTACTATTACATTTTATTGCATTAACTAAAATCATAGGTAGCTATTATGGGTCTGTGTGGTATAGGTGTCATCTCATTTAATTTTCATACTTTTATGAAATGGCCACTATTGTTATAGGAAATAGAGGATTAGAGAGTCTTAGAAGTTTAGTGTCATAGCCAGTATTGATATTGAGGAATGTGGGTCTAATACTATAGCCAATATAAATTCCTTTCTCCGTGCTTACTGAGCTTTTAATATAGGTACATGCTTATCAAATCCTTCTAGGTAGTACTTCCCAGACTTTGTAATTTCTTTTTTAGTTTTTTTTCAGACATGGTCTTGCTATGTAGTTCAGGCTGGCCTTGAACTCACTGTGTAGCCCAGGCTGGCTTCAAACTCATGGTGATCTTCCTGCCTCAGCCTCTTGAGTGCTGGGACTACAGGTATGGGCTACCACACCCAGCTTGTAATTTTCTTATACCAGTAAAAATGTTTGGTTTTCTAATTCAGCAGAGAAAGAGTATAGGGATTGGGGAAAGAATATCATGGTAAACAAATAGACAAAGACGTATAAAACTGTATTGTGCTGTTATTTTATAGTGCAACTTGTTAAAATTTACTCACAGATCAGAACTAATAGGAAGATGAACTGTAGGAATCAGTTTCTTTTTTTTGAGACATGATGTCGCTATGCAGTCCAGGCAGGCCTTGAACTCAGTATGTAACCCCGGCTGGCCTCAAATGCATGGCAGTCCTCCTGCCTCAGCATCTTGAGTGGTGAGGTTACAAGTGTATGCCACCATGCCTGGTTTAGGAATCAGTTTCTGATGCTTTATTTAGTGTGTGTTTGTTTTCAAATTTCTTAAACACAGAAAAAAAATGTTTTAAATGATGTTGAGATTGCATTGGATTAAAAAGTATAAGTAAAGTTGGCTTTTCCTTTGAGTTAGATGAGTTTTCATTATAGGATTTTGAACAGGAGAGATAGCATCTAAATTAACCATCAAAAGAATCTTTCTATTGCTGCATTTAGAATAGGTTATAGGGGGTTAAAGATACAAGCAGAGAGACCAGAGAGAAAGTTATTGTAGTAATCCAAATGTGGTATAAATTTGGTTTGGGTCAGAGTAGTAGTGCTGAGGGAAGTGAAGAAATCTTGAAATTCTACCTACATCTGGAGGATGCAGTACACTGAATTTATTGATGGACCAAATGTATGGAGAGGAAGCAAAGATGATTTCATATTTTTTGATCTGAACAATAGGAAGGATGGACCTTCTGCTTAAGAAAGGACCTTAACCAGAAATAACAGGTAATTGTGGTAGAGAAAGCTTGGAGGGATAATATGAGATTGGTTTTGAACCTTGGAATTTTGTATGTCTACTAGATATTATAAGTGAACCTGGAAATTTAAGAGGGGTGTCTGAAATAAGAAGTATTGGCATAAATATGTATTTCAATTATGAGACTGAGTAAGATCACCAAGGGCATGAATATAGATAGAAGAATACCAAAAATACCCTTGGGTATTATCAGTATTAAGTAGAAAGGGAGAAATCAAGTGGCAGCAATAGGGACTGAGCAGAAATAACTAGATAGGAGAAAATCCTAAGGAGTATGGTTTACCACACTAAGCAATAAACTAAGCAATAAAGATGTATCAAGGAATAAAGAGTGAAAACCTGCATCAGTTCTCCTGAAAGATGAGTAAAATAAGACCTGAGAATTGTTTACATTTTGCCCATGTCATGAGACTTTGCAGGAGACTGATATTAAGGGCAGTGGACTAATTAATCTGGTGGAAGCAATTTCAAGGTAGCCCAATGTTTAGGCTGTGGCATGAGTACTGCTGGCTGCTTTTAGCCAAATGTATGGTAAAAATCAGGAGAAAGGAAAAGAACTGAATGATTTTAAAAGTTTGCTGTCTCACCAGAAAGGAAGCACTTGCAAAATTGGGGAATAGAAAAACATGGCTGATGAAAAGATTTGCAATGAAAAGAAGCCACACGATTTGCATTATGACAGTAGGAAAAATGGTCTGAAGGCATTTTAGGAGTCAGCAAGACCTTATCCATCATAGCTTTAAAGATGCAAAAGTATAAATCTTGTATTTGAAGAGAATCCTTAGACCCCCTGCTGTAGAAGAACTGACTGAGAAATTGGTTCTCTGGGATTCATTTCACCATAATCAGCCATCCAAGAACTCAGAGGCTACTGCAGCCATAGACCATGGTCCCTGCCTACTGTCAAGCTGGTGGCCGACCTTGATGTCATCAACCATTGGTGCAGGTTTTATAGGTATGCAGAATGCAAGAGTTACAGGGTCATAGAGGATTCCACCCAGGTATCAAAAGAAGACCTGGTAGGCCAGGCATAGTACACATGAGAGGATGATATATGAAACTCTGAGAGTAAAGTTGAAAACGTGATGGAGCCCTCAGGAAGTTGAAGGTGCCAGGAACATAGAACATCTGCTAAGAAAAGTCATAGGCAGCAAGGGGAGCCAGACCAAAAGAGAGAAGCCATCTGGGATACAATAGCAAGCCCATGGGCCAAGCCTGCCCAAGCCCTTTACAGCTCACTTTCACCACAACCTGCCTTAGATCTTGGAGAGGGAGCTAAAGGATGTATTGTTTGTCCTGCTGGAGTTTGTTCTTGCTTTGGCCCAGTTTCTGTCTTTCTTTCTTTTTTTTTTTTTTTGGTACCAGGGATTGAACTCAGGACCTTGTGCTTGTGAGGCAGGCAGCAGCACCACTGAGCTAAATCCCTTTGGTCCAGTTTCTTTGTACCCCCATTTTCTTCCCTTTTGGAATGGGAATGTTTACCTTGTACCAGTGCATGCTGGAAGTGTTTAACTTTCTTTGTAATTTTTATAGGGGCTCACAGCTAAGAGTTTACCTTGAGTCTCAGAGGAGACTTTGGACTTGGACTTTTCAGCAAATGCTGAAATTGTTAAGACTTTTGCAACTTTTAGAGATTGACTGAATGCATTTTGCATAAAGAGATGTGCATAAGTCTTTTTATGGCCCAAGGGGTGGAATTTATGGCTTTGATCAAGAATGTCCTCCAAAGGCCTTGTATGCTCACAAGTAGGACTTGTGGAAGGTGATTGGATCTTGGGGCACTGTACTTATCTGTAGATAAATTCATAGCTGACTGTGCTATTTAGAGGTTGGGCCTGGTTAGAGGATGTAGGTCATTGGGGGCATGGCCTGGAAGGGTGTATTACTGTCCCCAGTTCCTTCTCTTGCTCTCTGCTTCCTAACTGCCACGGGGTAAGCAAATTCCAGCACTGTGCTATTCCACCATGTCATTTCTACCATGGAGCTATTGAGGCCCTGGCCAAGAGTCTAGATCACCTGCAAGGCAATACAACACAAGATAAAAGAAAGACACAGAAACAAGACTTAAACAGATAGTGGGGAACTGGGATGGGCCCTACTGAACCTGTGGCAATGAGGCCAAACGTGGCAAAGACCACAAGCAACCAGATCCATCAGTACTTATTGATTATACAGGTATGGGTAAGAATAGGATAGAGGGACTTATATGGCATCTGGTAATATCAGCTGACATAGGCAAAGTTTGTAGAAAGGAAGATTGGGCATACTTGCAGAAGGAGCAGAACTGACCAAAGGTCAGTTATAGTTATCTAGTAAGTTACCAAAAACAAGAGATGGGCAGCTCTGGGGATGGAATTTGAATTGGAGCCATGTGGTCCTCGACTACAGTGTTATCTCACTAGGATCCATGCAGCTTCACAGAACAGGACTTAGATCTTCATGGCAACCGTTGGTGCAGAAGCTGTACTTGCCTGTGGTGCCATCTGATGTGCTCCTGTAAGTCATGTAGGCGTCAGTCCACCTCCGAATACATTATAGGCAATTATGAGGGGAAAATGCTTGCTCCATATTACAGTTTTCTCTGACTTTGATCACCATGGTCTGCCACATGGAGCCAGCCAGCCACGGATTGAACCCCCTGAAACTGTGAGCTGAAATAAACTTCTCTTACTTTAAGTTATGGGTGTTAGGCATTTTGTCCCAGTAATGTGAAATAATTAATATAGAGATATTAATATTTTTCTTTTCTTGTAATATCTTCACCTTGTTATGGGATTAGGGTAATATTGGTCTGATAAATGAATTATGGAAGTATTATTCCCTTTCCTCCTATTCTCTGGAAGAGATATTAGAGAATCATTTCCTCCTTTAGAGACTGCACCTGGAGCTAATGTTTCTCTTTTACATGGTTATTAATTATTGATTCAAGTTCTTTTGGAAAATTGTATCTTTCTAGGATTGGTCTGTTTAATCTGTGATATCAAACTTATAAAAATGAAGTTGTTCACAATACCATGGTACCTCGGTTCACAAACTTAATTTGTTCTATGATTTTTTGAAAAGATGGCCATGTTTATGTATGTGTGGGAAAGATGGCTGTGGTATGTTTGTCACCTGATGTAGAATTTTCAAACACAAACAATTTTGCCAAACGCTTTTGTTTGCAAACCAGATTGTTCACAAATAAAAGCATTCATGAACCAAGGTACCATTATATTCCTTTATTATCCTTTCAATGTCCATAGGATCAGTAATGATGTGGTCCCTTTTTCATTTTTGATATTCGTAACTTGTATCTTCTCTTTCTTAATCTGGCTAGAGGCTTATTTATTGAT